TATCATCAGCTGTGTTCACTAGGCTAAGGAAGGGGCCGAGGGTAGGCAAGCCAGAGCCAAGGAATACGCTCGCCTACCTTTGCTTGTTGTGCCAGCTCGCTAGTCGTCAGGCGTCGTATGCTGACCACGAGTTCGGACTTGAGCACAGATTTTTTTTCGAACATCCCACCTGAAGAAACAAAAAGCGTTTTTTCAAAACACGAACGCTGCAAATCGAGGAGAAGCAGGATGCAAAGCGGCCGGAAAGGTAGGGCTGTACTATCAGGCAATCGCTTATGGTGACAGAATTTTTTTGCATCACATGTAATATTACGCGTCCAATGATTTGTCTTGCCTCGTCCCATCTCTTTCAGTTCTTGATTATTATTGTTCGATGTGTTTAACAAAAGGTAAGTGCCTATGTGAGCCTTCAACTGCTCTTCTTACATATTAGCTTTTATTGTGAAGTTGACTTTAATCACAAAACAGCACAAAATTGACGCATGAATGGACATTCACATTCCTAATCCCAGTACAATTTAACTGTCCACATATCTGCAATGTTCGTGCATCATAAATGTCCATGCACACAAAGCTTACAGTAATGTTAATCAAGATTATCGCATTTGTCTTACTCGCACCCCCGCAGTTAGAGCTGTTTCCCCAACTGGCTCTGCAAGACAAGGTAATCTCGCATACCCAATGACTGAAGAGACTATATGCCCACCTTTTTTCAATCAACCATTCAGTGCACAATGAAAGCGATATGCCCAGAGGAGATCGTCTCGGAATACAGCCCCTTCGCATAGTTACCACCTGGCCCAACATAGTCAACTGTTAAGCCTCTTTGCATAGCTCACGAAACGAGCAAAGCTCGCACGGCCTATCTCACCATAGTCTTTAAACTTGCAGATGGACTCATCGACGTGCTGGTCCTTTTTTCGCTTCCCACTTGGCATCATTCTTGCGTGGCATCATCATAAACGATGGGAGACCCGATCGTTTCTTCAAGTTGTATGTCACCTTGACGTCCTCTGTTGATGGAGGGCAAGTGAAAAATTGAAAAACCATAAATACAAATGTTTCACGTGCTCGATGGCTACGATTTAATTACTGTATTGTGAAACTACTAACGAGGCCCCCTGAAGTTTGTAATTCTGGGACCTCCCTCTGCACTACCGATGAACAAAGACGATGATATGGTAATGAAGCATGCTGTAGTTTAGGACTCGAGTGCAGAGCTACAGATTGTAAACATTGGGAGTATATTTGAAAAACTTGTTTGGTTTAGAAACTTTTGTAAAACATGAAGTCATTGTATTAAATAAAACTACACTTCGAAATTCTACTTGCTAGAGCTGATACAATTTCACTTTCTCAGCTTCAATAAATTTAGTTGAAATCAGTTCCGCAGTTGCCTCATAAAATTGCATACGCATTTTGCGTGTGCCGTGTAAATAAAATAAAAAAACTGAACTTTGGGCACAGGACAAAGGCCTCTCCCATGCCTGTCAACTCTGTGCTGTGCTAGCTGCTGCCATTTTATACCCGAAAACTTCCTAATATCATCTGCCCACCTAACTTCCTGTCGCCCTTTCCCACGCTTGCCTTCTCTTGGAATACATTTCGTGATCCTTAATGACCAGCGGTTATCTCACCTTCGCACTACGTGCCTGGCCCATGTCCATTTCTTCTTGATTTCAACTATGATATCTTTAAAACCAGTTTGTTCCCTCTCTTGTCCATTAGGGTTAATACTGTCATTTTTCTTTACATTACTCGCTGCGTCGTCCTCAACTCGAGTCAAACTCTCTTTGGAATACTCCAGGTTTCTGCTCCGTAGGTACGTACAAGTAGGATTCAGTGGTTATATACTTTCCTGAGGGTTAGTGGCAATGTATCAGTCTTGATTTGAGAATGCACTAGTTGATTGATTGATTTGTGGGGTTTGACGTCCCAAAACCACCATTTGATTATGAGAGACGCCGTAGTGGAGGGCTCCGGAAATTTTGACCACCTGGGGTTCTTTAACGTGCACCCAAATCTGAGTACACGGGCCTACAACATTTCCGCCTCCATCGGAAATGCAGCCGCCGCAGCCGGGAATCGAACCCGCGACCTGCGGGTCAGCAGCCGAGTACCTTAGCCACTAGACCACCGCGGCGGGGCAAGAGAATGCACTAGTCTGTACTATGAGGCAAAATCTGTACAAATAGGCGTTCTACACACCGGTTTCGCACACACATTTGTGAACAAGGATTCCAAGATTAAGTAGTTAATCAGTATTTCAGTAGTTAGTATGCATGCCAGGAAACCACTAAATGTAAATAATGCCGAGACTATGGTTTAAAGAAAAAGTGAGATGACAAATTAGAAAATCTGCCACACTGCAATGCCACTCACCAAATGTCAAGTCACCGTTCACGCTTTCCAGCGCTCCCGGTTTCGCAGAGACAACATCAGGCAGTTTCTTCTCCAGCACATTGCACAGTTTCACTTCTATGGCCTGGGAACAGAAATGAAGGTAACAAGATGAACATGTGAGCTAGTTGGTATTGCATTTCCTTTGTTTTTAAACCTCAGTCACGACTGAAGTCGCCGTAGATCGCAGTGGGAGTTACCCACAGAGAGTAAATATCACTATGCCCACTACTAAATCTCACATAATTCAGCTGCACTGCATGCCCCCAGTTTTGATGTTTCATCAGTGCCCACCAAGCAGAGTTGAAAGAATTTTTAAGAAGAAAACTTCAAGTGCAAGTGCAAAGACACCGGGCGACCAAAGGTACACAGACCACACGCCCTCACAAAATAGCGTGTCAGAACACCCAAGTATAAAACAAGAGTTTCCACATGCGCAGTGAAGATCAGCTGCAATTACAATGTATCTTTTTCATTAGGGGTACAGCACCGCTAGCAGCGAGAACCAAAAGCAAACTTCGGTGGCCTTCCATTCGGCACGATAGCAATGGAAACGGTGCATTCCTTTGCATCCATGGCCTCTGAGATGCTGTGCCAGCAGGTTTCGGTGGTTACTGAGTGGGCAAAAATGTTTCGGGGTGGAGCCATCGGAGTGTTTCCAGTGCATATGTGCAGAAGGCACCTGTGAAATAGGTGCATGGCACAGTTTCGTAGTGTGCTGCACACGCTAGGTCGTGATTCTAAAGTTTCTGCTGAGAGTGCGTGTGGTGAGCATTTAGCCAATACACCGTGATGGCTATAAGTGTAGGTAGTTAAGTGGAGGGGAGGTAATATTTTGCTTCCTTATTTCACCCCCCTCTCCCTTAATCTCGACCTGTATCGGTCGAGGCCGAAGACAAACAGCTTCACAATGGATGCCACAATGGACAACAAGCAACGATGTGCTCCTTACAGGGGGGGCTGGGGCTGCCTTTAGACCCCAGTTTTTAGAAGATAACGGCGGGAAGTAAACAGTCCTTTGAATGCACCGCTAAGGGTCCTCGGTCATTATGGTTGTCAAAAACTGTCATGGCCATAACACTGCATGCACATCTCATACACTTTCCCTGGTTTTTCTTGCCTGTTATTTCTAATTATTGCTGTGTTCAGAGAACTGCACATTAAAGAGTGACAGGACTGAATCAACTGAATAAAGGTGTGCGGAAGACTTGGCAATCATTCACCCTGTGCCCCCTCGTGCGCACGCTAATGGTGATAACACGAGTTAATGAAGTAATGACAGGCGGCAAGCAAATGAAAGACACCGGGCGCGTGTTTTTTCAGACACTCGTTAGAACGTGCAACCTACCTTGAAGCGTCGTATGGAGAGCCAGTCGTCGTTAGGCTGTATGAACCGAATCTGTGAAAACAGTGCATTGGAGGGCCCGACCTACGCAAGAGAAAAAAAAAAAAAAACGTGCTGTCAAACAAAGCAAAGTACGCAAACACAATTTCAGGTCATATTTTGGGCCAGCGGATCCCGACTTGAAGCAGCGGATCGACCGATCGATCAACTCGCAGATGTCATTAATATGTTAAATTGTGCTTGTATAACTCATTAATCAACAGCGAGCGAGGCGATACACAGGGTACGTCGCACGTCCAATGTCAAACAAATACCCGCTTCATTCCCGAGGCCTGTCAAATGTGATCTAGCCTTACGTAACGGGGCACGCGTCCTTAATAAAGCCTGGCAATTTCACAAAAAAACTCGACAACTGAAAGAGCCTTGTACGGGCGTCTCGAAGCAAAACCTGTCGAAACGTGCCAAGAGATGACGCCAAAAAAAGTTTGACGGTCGACTTTTACCTGGATGAACTTCGCCAGGTGTTCCATGATCCACGGCGCCAGTCTTTTCGTCGAAGCAAGCTCAGATTAGCTAATGGCCCTGTTAGTACTCGCTAACCTAAAAACGGGTACCATCGTAGGCCACAAGTCCGCGTACAGCTGTAACATGAGGCCTGATACGAAAGTCGTAAGTAGTACAGGACGGTACAACCATGGTCCGCAGGTAAATACAGCGCGTACGGAAAACTTAGGAAAACGGCGGCAAATGTAAAACGTAGAACAGCAGCGCTCGCTCAGAAACATGCGCAGAAAGCAGTCGCAAGACCCCTAGCAGACAAAAAGTGAAATGACAATTTAAAAAAATTAAATGCGCTAAATAAATAAATGTTGTAAGTCGTAAATACAAATTATTGTCAATTTACTACTACTAGTTTTTTTGTAAAATTTAATCAGACGATGATGTGATTGCGAGCCTGCGTCTATTGAGTGCAACGCTAAATCCACCGCGTGCCCCGCCGTAAGTTGCACGATTTTTTTCTGTGTTTTGAGTGTCTCGTCGTACGCACGTAGGGAACTTTTTTTTCAGAAAGACCGTGCCGGTAGAGCTATTCGCTTCGAAATCAGCCGAATCAATGCCGCAAGCGCCATCGCCTCCACGAGCAAAGTGCCGCGTTCGGTTGTCGTGCCGCACTGTACTCGGCGTGCGCGGTTTAGTGAATGCGCCGTGCTTCGCTGCATCGACAGCAGCAGCAGACGCCTGTGTGTGCGTGTCACAAGACCTCCCCGCAGTTGGCTTCGACGAAGCGGAGTGGCTTCTTGGTGTACACGTCGTATCGAGTTAGCGTCCGCGAAAAATGACTCTTCCGGATGCTCTCCGCGACGTTGTAGGGGTTGCGTAGCTTCGCGAGAACGCGCCCTCAGAAGGGAACTGGGCCCGTGTAGCACCGTCGATCTCCTATGGGCACGCTTCACTGCCTTTGGGCAAACGCGTGCGCGGGAGCTTCCGTCGCCACCGTTTCCTGAGATATGGACGCACAGTCGGGTAAGAGACGCTGCCGCGATGCACCGACAGATCACGCAGCGAGTAAACTCGACCAGCGGCTGACGGCCGTTAAGTCTTGCGATCGACAACGTTTTGAAAATAAGGGTTTGTTTTCGCGCGATCGGCTCCTGACGAAACAGCTGGCCGGTGTGATCTCCAGGTGTGCTTGAAGAGTTCGTTCAACGCGTTGTCACACAGCAAGGCACGTTGTCGGTCTAGTCGGTTCACAGATTTTCAGCAATGCGCGAAGAAGACGTGACGAAAGCAGGAAGGCGTGCGCACACACGATGCGTTTCGTTTGTGCGTATGAGGCCCTGTTAACGTCCCGTCCGCTTCGCGCACTTTTGAAGCTTTGCTGAACATTGTCATGGCCAACAAGACTCGCAAAAGTGTTCAGAAGACCTTCTCATACGCAATCACTCGTTCATAATAAGCTTTGCAAGCGTTCCCGCTTAGTGAACTGGCGTTATAAACAGGCCTCACTGAGGTGCATACACTTCCGGTGTGGTCAGGACTCGTCGGCGACGCGGTCGCACGTTACATACGAAGCGAGCAGACCACACACGAGGCAAAGTTTCAAGGGTAGAGGCTTTGGCTTGTTGGGAATCCGTTACAGTCGACCTAATGCGTGAGAGTGCAATGACAGGAAAGAAAACTGCGCTCTGCGTTGTCCTACACCATTTTGTAATTGCTGCATCCGTTTAGTGTGGTTATACCCATGCGTGTGTATGCACAGTAAATTGAAAGTTTGAATGATAAACAAAGGCGTCCATACAGCGTGCATGTCCAATCAACCAGTTGCTGTCATAAATCTTGAGCGCCATTTGGATTGTATGCGCTTTTTACCACGGCATACCTCTATGTGGTGGGGCAGCACTTCATAGTCTGCGAACATTACATAACGAGCCAAACTCATGCACGAAAATGTCTTGCTTGCTTGCCATTCCTCCCCGATTAGCTTCCATCGTGCTTCTTGGAAGGAGAGAAGAAAGTGCGCAATAAATCCCTGCAACTCCGCACATTCTCGACGGATACAAAAGCTTTTCTTGTGGGCGTGGATTTGGGAGACGAGAAACTCTGATAGTGGAGAGTTTTAGTACTGCGGAATGGTGCTACGTACGCATCACGCAAGCACCTTGCATTACGTGGCGTCGTTTGCCACTAATCGGCTTTTAGTACGCCGTAGTACCCGCGTACGTAACGAGCGTAAAGCGTGTTGCGTCATCTGGTAGATCAAAATAGAAGCACGTGTTGTTGACAGCCAATAAGAGCCAATCCAAGTGTTATAGCCAGATTATGGCCATATTTTAAGCCACAGAGCCGGTCTGTGCTTGCCTTCGATGCCGCCATTTTGCAAAACGAAGTCTCGCGCTGTCGCGAACTTGTTCGAAAGCGGCGCGATCACCTCATACGTACGCACGCACGCATCTCATGCGTGCGTACGTAGCGGCTGTGTACGTAACGCGATACGTGCGCGTTGCGGTGTGCGCATGCGCACTACGCAGAACGTGGCGTCCTTACGTACGCAACGCCGCCACGTACGCAGCGTACGCAGTACTAAAACTCTCCAGTGAGGTCATTTCGTGATTACTTGCGAAAAGGGTTCAGGGCTTTTTAAACTTTCCAAAGCTGTTGCAGGTGTCACGGGAGAGATAAACGTTTAGCTCCCACCGTTTTTGTTCCAGGATCGTTGTGGGGCAACGGCGTAACGGTCACGTTCATGTCGCATCCGTCCATATGGCTCGCCGCGCGCCTCCCGTCGGCCGTCTTGTGCGCCCTGGCCACGTTCGTGCTGACGTTCCTCGCCATTCGACAGAGCGACGAGTTCATCAAGCAGCAGGACCAGGAGGACGTTTTCAGGTGGTTCCACAACGTTGGCTTCGGAGAGCACAAGCAGTTTATGTATGACCGAGGTGAGGACATACAAAGTGAGGGGAATCATTCGGGTGCTCGTTTCTGTGTTCGACGCGAAAAAAATGACGTGAACAGACAAACACCAGCCATCGTAGCCTAATGGTAGGGCGTCGGACGTGTAATTCCAAAGTTGGGGGTTTGGATTCTGCCAATAGAATGGGTCCCTATTTATCCCCATCACTTACTTTCAGTTCAGGTCATAATTATTGCAGTACCGTTCAAAACAAACCATGTACCCTACGTTTGCTGTGGTGTAGTCGTGTGTCAAAGACAAATGTGTCAAAGACATTTTGGTCAAAGACAAATGCATCAAACTGGTGGAAAACATTTGATAATGATGTAAAACACGCTGGGGTGAATATAGTTCACTAAGGTGCCTCTTTGAGCATGTTGGTAAAACATAATATGAACTAAAAGGGCTCAACAAAAGGGCAGAGGTGGGGCTTGAGACTATAGGTGAGCAAACAACAGTCAGACTCACTCAAATAATCTATTTCGCACTTAACGCTTCAATGGACACAGATCCACCAACATTTTTCTTAGCCGGACCATGTAAATGAATGTTCTTCTGTATACTTTCATTTTCGTTACGTCATTCACATTTGCATGTTGATGATGGCTATTATTGGTAGCCACCGGTTTCTCGAGAGGAAACTTGAATGTCCCGACGAATTTTGTCAGAGATCAGTACTCAGTCAAGAATTATATTTTAGTCAGAAGGGAGTAACTTTTTATTTTTCACTGTGCATAGTGTTTACCTACATAGCTGGTAACTGCCTGTCTTTCTAATGAGAACCACCTGGTATGACTGTCTCGCAGGGGTGATTTACAAACTCTCCGTGGTTTTAGGGTTGCAGCGTATACTTATTTATTGTTCGATTTCAGTGGACTGTAGCTTGTCATAGCACAAACACAATGATGTGAATATTGCTAGTACCAGTCACGTGAGGTGGCACTGTGTTGTCAGGGTGGATAAGTTGACTCATCGAATGATTGACAGCAGAGAGAGATAAAGCTATAAATAGCGGGTACGATTACACACAGCACTAGCCCTGCGTTATCTCGTGTTCTTTTTACGGTCGGGTCATTTCCTCACGACCACAGATTATGATGGCTTGCCAGCAAGCTTACATAGCCACTGTCATCTACTGTGAAAGAGAGCACACGATAATAGATGTCGGCTTGATTACCGACCCATGGTACTTGTGTTGATTGGAAGCTGTTAGAATATAGCAATAAGTTGTGAATGAAACTATGCCCGAGCAAGCCACATTCTTTTCAGTCTTATCTTCTTGCTGACCATTTGTACTCTTCAATTTCTTATTATTCTATGTTGCCCGTGGGCTTAGATATAGGTGCACATTAAAAAACCCCGGGCGACCGAAACTCCCAGAACCCCCCTCTACAGTTTCTCTTGTTATCATATCATAGTTTTGGGATGAAAGCCACGATAATTGTAACTCCTATTTTTTGGTGTTTTAACACGCTTCATTAGTGATGGCCTTGACAATGTCAGAGTTACATTTTATGCCCTTTAAGGGATGGTTTTTGTAGGCCTGTTCTCACCAATATACCTTTTGTAATCTATTATTTTATTACCAAATGATTCCACTGGGCTGTGACTCATTAGCCATGTTTGACGCTTGTGCCTCTGACAGTATCATCCCCATTGTCAACCTCTTGTATGATTGTGGACAGCTTCTCCCCTATGTGCATGTAGTATTGTAGCACTTGAATGCCCTCTTCAGTCTCAAAAAGAAAATTCCTGGTCAATTTATTTCATACCTCTTTATTTTGCTCTTGAGTGTATAAGAAAATGGAAAAAAATTATTTCGGATGTCCAATAAAAATTAAGACTATTCAATCATTTAATTAAGTTTAAGTAATTAATATAGAAGTTCCGTCCCTATCTCCACGGCCGTCACTTCACAATCGTTACGGACCACCATGCCTTATGCTGGCTTTCTACACTGAAGAACTTGTCCGGACGCTTGGGTTGGTGGATACTACGCTTGCAGGAGTATGACTTTGACATAACTTACAAGTCAGGCAGAAAACATCAAGACGCCGATGCTTTATCTCGTTGCCCGCTTCCAACTACCCATATCAGCGTTGGTGAGAACTCAACCGCCACATCTACCAAACATACGCTCGCATCAATAAGGCAACCATTTTCGGACGACGAGCCAACATTTATCTCCCGCCAGCGGTCCGATTCATACTGCAGACGCATCATGGACCACCTTTCGGGAGTTCCTCATCCACCAAACGCGCGACTCCGTCGTCAACTCCTGCACTTTAATCTGGACAATGGGGTTCTCTGCCGCCACGTCTACCACCCTGATGGTCAGCGCTGGGTTCCTGTACTGCCACGCTCTCTTCGACTTCACGTGCTCGCAGCCTTCCACGACGACTTGACTGCTGGTCATCTTGGTTTTAAAAAAACTCTTGACTGCATTCGATGTCGTTATTACTGGCCTGGCCTTTCTTCTAGTGTAGCGCGGTACGTGGGTTCCTGCTACCCATTTCAGCGTCGTAAACTCCCCACGTCTGCACCTGCTGGACTTCTACAGCCACTTCCGTGCCCTTCAATGCCTTTCGAAGTTGTAGGTGTTGACTTTTTTGGGCCTCTCCCCGTCACATCTGCTGGCAAACAATGGATAATGACCGCCGTGGACCACCTGACACGCTACGCTAAGACTTCCTCTGTTATTACAGGCTCAGCTGTGGAAGTTGCAGACTTTTTTCTTCACGCCATAATCCTGCGTCATGGGGCTCCTCGTGTACTGCTTAGTGATCGCGGCAAAGTGTTCCTGTCACAAATGGTAAATGAAGTACTGCGCGCTTCTGGAACTACTCACAAGACAGCTTCGAGGTACCACCCTCAGACAAATGGTCTCGCAGAAAGATTTCACCGAACCCTTGCAGACATGATAGCCGTTTACGTCCAATCCGACCACAAAAACTGGGATACTCTTTTACCATTCCTGACATTCGCTTACAACACTGTCGTTCAGCGAACAACTTGCTACTCACCGTTTTACCTCTTGTACGGACGCACCCCGACTACCTTTCTCGACGTGTCCTTCTTTAACAGCCATGGGAATTTATGTCAGTCTTCTAGCAAAGAATACATTTCCTGCCTGGCCCAGTCTCGCCATCAGGCTCGCATCAATACTGAAGCGAGACAGCACGAGCGGAAGATCATCTATGACGAATCCCACCGCGTTGTGTCTTTCCAACCTGGTGACGAGGTGTTGCTTTTGACACCTATTCGCACTCCTGGTCTTTGTGACAAATTCCAACCACTCTTCATCGGGCCATACATTGTTTTAGAACAGACTTCGCCGGTTAATTATCGTGTGACACCACTCGTCGCCCCAACAGACCGCCGCTACTGCAGCACAGAGATTGTCCACGTTTGTTGCACGAAACCTTTCACGCGACATTCTCCGTCAATTTGACTTACGGCGGCCAGGTTGTCCGCTTCCAATTGGGGGGAATTAGTGTAGGTATTTGTTACTTACATCGTCCTCATCCCTGCATGATCACAATCACCACCATCCGCTTGTCTCTTTGTCCTCATTGGCATTCTGGGTCATCGTTTGTGTACTGGCTCTGCCCGTTCGTTTTGCGAGGTCTTTCCTCAAATAAACGCTGACGCAGCCAAAACTACCAAGACTTCATAATATTGTTTAATTATGGTAAACAGTGACTAATTGTAGTTTACAATGCAGATCATGTCTGAAAATTTATTATAACCTTATCAATGACACTTCAGTGGTGCTGTTACATATGCTGCGTAAGAATAAACTGCTGAAAAATCTTGGAGGACAACAAAGTTTACGTTTGCTGGGAAGTGCCATTTTAAGACCTGCCCTGTGTTACAGATTCCCTACATGGAGCACCATCTCTTTTAGCTTAAGTAAAGTAAGGCTGTCCACGCAAGAAATTCAAGTTGATGATATAAAAGAAATATTTGCTTCAATATAAACTGCACTTGCTCGAAACAATGGCCCCAAATGGGGCCACTGTGATTGAAGAGGATACACTGTATATAAGACAATATTTTCAATCAAGGTTGGTCTGTACTATGCTAAATGCTGTGACAGCTAGATAGCATTGTTCGTGCATATACCTCCCCTCCATTCTTACGTGATATTTCGCAGGGAGGATGAGGCAGATGAGTGTGGCATATCTTGTTGATTGCTTTCAGAAAGAAAAAGGATGCTTTTGATGACACCAAGGGGAAACAGCAGGTAGCTTACTCTCGTAATATGTGCGAAACAAAGGTTCACTCTTGTTTGGCCACTGTGGGGCCGATTTCAGAGTGATTTATAGCTGATAGAATTTCTAAGCCAATAAAAATAAACACTTAATTTCAACCAGTGCTAAAGGCAATGTTTTAAGTTTACTTATTTATAACTTGTTGTCATTTGCAAAAATCTGGACATCTAACAAAGAGCTTTTTTCACAGGGTTCTTTACATGAATTACCAAGACATATTAATTCACTACAGAATAATGCAAAAATATGCCAGTTGGAAAACTTGCAGGATTGATGTAGTGCTAAAGACGAAGACTTAAGAAATACAAGACCACTCAGGAGAAACCTTGTCTCATAGTCGAAAGATTTATTTCGAAAAAAACAGTACCGAGCATAGCAAACATGCACATAAAAAAGAAAAACAAATCGTTTAACAACACGTGCGCATTGGTAAGAAATTAAAACATATCGCTTGACATCACATGTGCCAAGTAGATATTCAAACTCCTCGTCTGTAAAGAAAATGGACACATGGCTCACACATCCGTCTCCCATTCTTTTAAAATGAAAAGCTTCAATCACTTCACTAGTTATGTACCTACTCTGCCTAGAAAGCACTTTGCATCTGCAGAACACCGGAGAGCAGCCACAGGCATTGTAACGTGATGCTAGATGAGATGTGTTAAAATTTTTCAAGGACTGATTATATGCTCATTTAAGCTAATGTTAATGC